TGCACTACACGGTGGATTGCAGCAGCGGACACGACATGGTGTGCAGCCCTTTTTTTCCGCGGCGACTTGGAAAAGTATGGGGTTGGAATGCAAATTCTTAGTGCCTCCCCCCTGGAGGGCATCTCAGGAAGATGGATCCCCCACAGAAGGGCAAATTGGACAGGCAGCAGGGGAAATAGGACCGCCGGTCCCGCAGGGGCATTCCAAAAAGTTGTGCCCCTCACTGACAGGGGTCTGCTCGAAAGTTCAGATGCCCAGGGGAAAATCAGGGTAAGTCGGCAGGGGCAAATCGCAAATTAATGCAAACTTCAGGGGCATTTCAAAAATTTTCCCAAAAAAAAAAAAAAAAAAAAACTGAAAAACGAATAGCAAGCTAATGAGGGCTGTACCACTCCACACGCGGCCAGGAAAAAAGGCATTTCAAGCTCTAAACTACTAGCAGTGTATCTACCGGTGTTCTACCAGAAGATTCATGCTCATGTTGCACATTTGGTCAGTAGTGGATCTCCACAGCTCTCGGGGCAAAGGTAAGTGCGTTTTTTCTTCTTTTCTTTTCCGAAAGTCAATACGTTTTTTTTTCTTTCTTTCTTTTCGTAGTAAGCGCTGCCAACGAGGTAGGGCAGTCCGTTCTAGATTTCTTTACTTGGGCGTAGTAAACAGCAGAATGTTTGGATACTGTATTTCTGGGAAGATGCAGTAGAAGAGAAAAAAAACAAAAGCCGAAACTACCCAGACCCAAATCGCCCACCCAGACCATATCCCCCGACCCCAGTTTGCAACGGGGAAAAACTCTATCCCTCAAAAGGGAAACAATGGACAACGCCCTATACTAATTTGCAACGACCTTGACAAGATAACCTGGCCTACGGTCTTAGGGACGACTGCGACCGGACCCTATTTTCTGCTGTGGGAGACCCCAAACGAACCCGTCCTAGCAAAGTTGTACTGCGCGACCTTACCGAAAATAGAACCCGTCCTAGCGAAGTTGTACTGCACGACCTTACCGAAAATAGAAAGAAATGAAACGACGAAAATGGAACCCACACAAGCGCAGCCTCCTGGCTGCGAACAGTGCACTGTATTGGGACACTGGACCCGGTTTCCAGCAGGTGCAGCTCCCCACCAATAGATGGAGCCTTCAACACGGGACAGTACTTAAACGGGATGCTCTTATCACCTCGTTAGGTGGCCTCCTGACACTGAAGTTAAAAAAAAAAAAGAAAAAAAAAGTGTACATGAGTCAATGAGTCATAGGGCGTCGTTCGACACACCTCAGCGCGTCCTCGGGCTCCGAGGAGGTGTCGTTCCACCTGTCCTCGGAGAATTGCCCCGAGGACGAATCCTCGGGGCCCTCCTGCGGCCAGTTTAATTAGATTATACACAGCCGCGAGAGGAATGTCCGGCCTCCGATTCGGGATGTCCGTGTAGCAGTCGTGGTGGGCCAAAACGCGGACGGCGGGAAGACGTCACGGGCCCTTGGAAAAGAAATCGCCAACGCGGGAAAATCCCCTTTCAAAATTCGAATTTTGAATTTTGATGTTGCGGAGCGACGTGGTGGCGGCGCACAGGCGGGTCGGCCAGGGGGCAGCCTACGCCGCGCAGGGTTTCGTTTGCCATTGTGTTGCGTATTTCAGCGGCGCCGCACCGCCACTGCGTCAAGTGTGGTCGATGCGAGGAAACGAAGATGTCTGGTAGGCAGTCGCGTTCGCCACGTGCAAGCGCCGCGGCGGTGGGTGGACGCCAGCAGTGGTGGGTGGACGCTCCAATCGGAATCGCATCGTTGGGCCGGGCTGGCTTCCTGACGTGGTTGCAGGCGTCTTCAACCGTGGCGGCATACGTGCACGGAGGTGGGCAGCGGTGGACGCCGTTTTTTGTCTACGAGGGACGTGATGGACGACTGCGATGGCGATGGACCTGCTGTGCTGTCGACGACGGAGAAGACAGCAGTTGCGGCGGCTGCGGTTGCCGTTGTCCGTCGTTTTCAAATCGAGAGTGCGGCCGGGCGCATGACGGCAGCGCTTTCAAGGCGGCGGCAGAGGCTACTGCTGCAAAGGGTGTTGGACGCCCCGGACTGCATCACCACATCCCAAGCCGTGGTTCAGTTGTGTGCTGCTATCGGGTGCGGTTTGCTTCCTCGGGCGACACCACGTTGGTGGATGCGGCGGAGAGCTGGCGGGACTTGGGAGGATTTACGGGTTTGCGATGACGTGATAGAGGACTACTTCCGGGAAAAGCTCCGCATGTCGAGGAGAGTGTTCATGGAGATCAGCGAAGCATGTGCGCCTCATGTGCAGCGGCAGGTGACGTTTTACTGGGAGCTACTACAGCCGGAGCAGATCGTCGCATACGCGCTGTATAGGTGGGCCACAGGAGAGTCTTACGATAACAGCACATCATCCTTCGGCATGGGCAGGACTTCCGGAGTTCGAGCCGTGCGCGATGTGACAGCCGCCATTTTGAGGGTGTACGGGGAGAAGATATCGTGGCCGACGAGGGTGCGGAAACAAGTTGTGCTACGGGCTTTTCTGGACAAGGGCTTTCCAAATTGCCATGGCGCAGTTGACTGCACACACATCTACGTGGACAAACCGGTGAACGCGCCTAGCGAGAACTACTTTGACCGCAAGCACCGTTTTTCCGTCATTGTGCAGGTTGTGGTGGACTTGGATCTGCGCGTCCTTGATGTGTTCGTGGGATATCCGGGTAGCTGCCACGACATTAGGGTGATCCAACTGTCAAGTCTGTTGAGGCGCGCAGAAGAGGGATTGATGTTTCGTGGGCCGCCTGTGATGCTGCCGGGAGGGGTGACGACGAACGGATACATCTTGGGCGACAACGGGTATCCTCCTTCTGAGTGGGTGGTGGTGCCGTACGAAGGAATCAATCAGCACCTGGACGAGGAAAGGTTCGACACGAAACAGAAGGTCGCAAGAGAGGTCGTGGAGAGGGCGTTTGGGAGGTTGAAAGGGATGTGGAGGCTCTTCCTGCGGACGCACAAGACGAACCTCGAGAGTCTGCCGCAGCAGTTCACGGCGGTATGCATTCTCCACAACATCCTGCTCGATGCAGGAATCGAGTTCGACGATAATTTGTTGTGGGAGGTCGACGCGAATGGGGTGAGGCGGCGAGTGGACCTGGGGATTCATCGCCCCCCGCAGCTAGTGTCCATGTTGACTTCGACACGCGAGGCTCATGCGCTCCGCAAGGCACTGGCGCAGCGGATGAAACACGTTTGATCCACCCAGCCGCCTACCTGTTCGTCCCGTTGAAGTCGTGTCCCGCCATAGTCGACCGACAACTCTTTCGTCTTTCGCTCACGCGCGCGATCGCCAGTGAGGGTCTGCCGCCGTGGTCGGATTCTTTTTAGGTGTTTGTTCTTATATTCGACGACGCTTTATAGGTCCAGTCCGTCACGCAGCGGGAGTGCGACGGGATCGCTGATGTAGTACTCGTCCTCTGCGTTCGTCTTTTCGTATTTCGGCTCTTCATTGTCGTCGTGGCCGAGAAGTTGGTTTTCCCGCTCAATGACGTGGAGTCGTCGATGGATTCGGTCCTTGTCTGATGGGGGGTTGGGGGG